GTCAAATAGACTGTCAGTAGCTGTTCATCAAGTTCCACTGGTGATGCTAGTCAAATGGACTGTCAGAAACTGTTTATCAAGTTCCACTGGTTAAATGCTAGTCAAATGGTCTGTCAGAAGATGTTCATCAAATTCCAATGGTTAAATGCTAGTCAAATGGTCTGTTAGAAGCTGTTCATCAAATTCCACTGGTAGTGCTAGTCAAATGGACTGTCAGAAGCTGTTCATCAAGTTCCATTGGCTAATGCTAATCAAATGGACTGTCAGAACCTGTTCATCTAGTTCCACTGGTAATACACTATTACATAAATGGACTGTCAGAAGCTGTTCATCAAGTTCCACTGGCTAATGCTAGTCAAATGGACTGTCAGAAGCTGTTCATCAAGTTCCATTGGCTAATGCTAGTTAAAATGGCTGTCAGAAGCTGTTCATCAAGTTCTAATGGTAATGCTGGTCATATAGACTGTCAGTAGCTGGTCATCAAGTTCCACTGGTTAATGTTAGTCAAATGAACTGTCAGAAGCTGGTCATCAAATTCCTCCAGTTAAGGTTAGTCAAATGGTCTGTCAGAAGCTGTTCATCAAGTTCGACTGGTAATGCTAGTCAAATGGACTGTCAGAAGCTGTACATCAAGTTCCACTGGTTAAATGCAATTAAGTTGTCTGACAGAAGCTATTCATCATGTTCCACTGGTTATGTTACTCACATGGCCTGTCAGAAGCTGGCCATCAAGTTCCACTGGTAATGCTAGTCAAATGGACTTTCAGAAGCTGTTCATCTAGTTCTACAGGTAATGCTATTCAAATGGACTGTAAGAAGTGTACAGCAAGTTCCACTGGTAATGTTACTTAAATGGACTGTCAGAAGCCGTTCATCAAGTTGGGAGAGAGCAGCTTATCTCAGTTGGCTAATCTGGTGGTAGCCATTGTGTGTGTGTGTGTGCGCTAAACCGCGGAGATCTCTAGGTCGCTGCCTCTCTTTGTGTTTTAGCTGGAGGGCTGAAATACAAATTACAATAGCACACCGTCTTTCGGATGAGACGTTTAAGTCGTTGGTCCCGTGTGCACTTATGGTCTATGTGCACGTTAAAGAACGCAGAACACTCTTCGGAAAAGAGTAGGGGATTGTCTCCCGGTGTACTGCCCAATCCCCACCAGAAGGGCCCCACTGGAAATAAGTCTTCTTCAAGATTTTTGTGCTATCCTTGGTGTTTACACCGAATAAATCCAATCCAAGTTCCATTGGCTAATGCTAGTCAAATAGTCTGTCAGTAGCTGGTAATGTCCACTGGTTAAATGCTAGTCAAATGGACTGTCAGAAGCCGTACATCAAATTCCACTGGTAATGCTTTTCAAATGGACTGTCAGAAGTGTTCATCAAGTTCCACTGGTAATGTTAGTCAAATGGACTGTCAGAAGCTGGTCATTAAGTTCCACTGGCTAATGCTAGTCAAATTGACCGTCAGAACATGTTCATCAAGTTGAAATAGTAATGCTAGTAAAATGGACTATCAGAAGTTGTTCATCAAGTTCCACTGGTAATGCTAGTCAAATGGCCTGTCAATAGCTGTTCATCAAGTTCCACTGATAATGCTAGTCAAATAGACTGTCAGAAGCTGGTCATCAAGTTCCAATCGTTAATGTTAATCAAATACTCTCTATAAGGTTTTGTCGAACAATGCCAGTATGGTCTATGAGTTCCATTGGGCAATGCCAGTCAGCTAGTGTGTGTGTTCTAATGGACAATGTCACTATGGTCTGAGTTGTAATTGGCAGAGCTAATCGACTGGTCTGAGTCCATTGGATCATAGGCGTAGATTCCGGGGGGGATGGAGGGGATACAGTATATCCCCCCCAATATTTGACAAGGGGGGGATGGTCCATTGTATCAACCCCCCCCCCCAATATTTTGACTATGTATGGGATAAAATGGGGCTTTACACACTTCAAAAGACTGTCACAGAAATAATTTGCACTGTCTTATGCACTTACAAAGATGAAAATTAGCATAATGTATTAATGTTCATAACAAAATTATTTTATCTGGTACCAATCTAAGCTCTTCTTTCCTTAGATGTTAGATGTGCTTGCAAAGAGAGCGTGTACGACATCAGTAATGTTATGTCAATTCCAAGAATGTTTAAGGTTATATCGGTTGATGAGGAATTTATTGATTAGCCTATAATAACAAATTGCAT